TTCATTATGAAACTGTGGTGGAACAGATTACACTATGGCGAACCGCACTGGGCCGGGAAAATGGGAAACACTTGGCTGTACATGAAGTCATGTACTTATTTAGGCTAGATTCAAACAGGTGGTAATTTTAATGGGACTTCATAGGTAGGCCTAGGCCTAATTAACTAGTTCGCCTCTTACCAAGCTATGAAAACTTCTTTTTTCCAACTACCTCCTCTCCCGGGCTCTGTCCACTCTCTCTGGCTGAGGACGAGGAGGCGACTCCACCGGCTGCAGAAAGAAGTGTGATCGTATTGAAGTATATGAGAAGATAAGGATACTTCTCAGCTGATTTATTACCTCAGTTAACACTTTCTTAATAAATTTCTTCAACACAGCATGATGTTCATTTAGTAAATTATGGTCCTATTTAGGGGAAAATACAAAAGATGACGCTACCATTGCGACATGTCAATCAGGACGGAGGCAGGAGAGGGAACACGTCCCGTTTGAGTCTGTTAGTTTTGTCTTTTTGTTTTTAATAACTGGACCTGTGATAACATTTTTGTTTAGTTTCTTTTTAAATATCCACAATGTATTTAATAAATGATTAAACGGAATAAGAAAACACTGATAAATGATAACTTATGGAGGGATGGACAGTAAAAATTCTCTTTTCAATGCCCCACTGGCCTGTTGGGGCCAGCTGCAAAAACATTGAGCCCTGACCGCTGTCGTGAAGGACAGCTGATGAGAGTGAGATAATGAAACAGAGCTGAGTCTCTGTGTGTCGGGGAGCTGCACCTCAGTATAATCTGTAGAGCTATACATAATATAATCTATTTAATCTATTTAATGTTGTTTAATAGTGCAGCTTCTGTGGACTTTTGCCTTCTCCTGATATGTGCAGATTTTTTCCCACCCTGCTCTCGCAATTCTAAACTGATCGTACTGCGCCTCTCGTTCCCGTGACTTCAACTTGTCAAGCTTGTGCCGGGTGTACTCTTTATTGAGAAAGGCCAATTATTTTTTACTCTCAAGCCGTCACTAGAGTGGTACACATTTGGAAACTCTTTCTGTAAAGGGACAGGTGTTTAGTGGTGTGTTTCCTTGATTGACAGCCAGTGTCTCAGCCTCTCACAAACATGGCCGCCCTCTGTGCACAAATTAGGATTTTCTGTGCAGCTTCACAAACCTCAGAGTGACGTCATAAACCCTTCATCCACGTTCCTCTCCAGTCTGTGGTTTGTGTTTTCAGGATTTCCTGCTGCTGCACAGTTCAACTCTCTGACCTCTGGAGGCTCTATTTTTAGATGTGGTGACCTTTGACCCCTGCTGCTTTATTTAGGCTAGTAAACAGTCTGGGAAACTGACAGGGGTTTCCCCAACTTTCTGCATGTACATAATCCTGTATGTGTGTGTTCTGTGCATAAAATGATATGTACACACTTTTCCCCCCAGTGCAAAGTGTGAAGACATCATATGAAACTGCCTCTGCAACTATAATTCAGTTTCGGGGGAATTTAATATGTGTCGGTTGTAAAAAACAATTTTTAAGGTCAAGCCAAGTTCTCTGCAAATTAAACATGACAAACCTGAGAAACTTTATGGACGTTAATCTGCACCTACTTTAAAAGAGGTCCAAGAAACGTTTTATAATCCAAAGTAAACAAATCAGTAAATTTCAAGTCTCTTGCATGCCATCAAGCAACCAATGGTCAATTTGTTCCGGTAAATTACTGGAAACCAGAAAACAAACCATGGTGGGATTAACTTGCTAGGGGCCACTGAGCTGCTATAAACCCCTGTTCCTCCCACTCTCCGTGTAAAAAGTACATTATTATCCGTTATTCTATGCTGGAGAAACATTTACAGATTTGCTTTGTGGCAGCTTGATTAAGCACATTAATTCAGGAATATGCAAATTACTGACAAATATACTGGCTTCTTGAAGGCCAAGTTATACTTCTGCGTCAAATCTACACCATAGCCTGATGCGCACCTCGCTACAAAATGTAACTACACGTCTTGGCAACGCAGACCGCAACAACTGTGATTGGTAGCGTCGCATTTCCAGCTTGTCCTTCTTCTTCTTCTGCCTCAACAGGTTCAATTGTCGTACATACCGTCTCCTCCGACGCCTATTCTCATTTCTGTGTTTTAGTGATTTCACTAAAAGTAACTCCTGTTCAACATCGATCAGCTCCAACATGATCCTCTCAGTTTCACTAGGTACGTTTGACTTAATACAGCGCTGACTTAACATGAGGCATGCTGGTTTGAATTCTTTCTTTCTTTTTCTTTCAGCGATGCTGCAAAACGTCATTTTGCCACGATATTAAAACCTCGTGGGCTCCAGTTTTCTGAGTCCGGCGAGTGCAGTTGCTTTTCTCCGACAGCACCAGGTTAAAACCACCTTTTCACAGATCAGTCACTGCGTTCCAGACCGTGTTTCAGTTGCATGGTGGTGCATTACCCCAAATGTGGCTGACTGTGACAAACTTATGTTTCTTTGGCAAGTTTATGCACAGTTAAACCCTCAGCGGTGCACATGTGCAATGTAAATTAAAAGGATGGCCATTTTAATAAAAACAAACAATAAATATACTTCACTCGTTAACTGTGTATCCTTCTAGCTACATCAGTTGGTAATCCTCAAAAGTCAGTAAAAGTTGCAGGCTATATTTCCAAATGTTTTCAGATTTCTGGGCATTTTTAACATTTTGCTGAACAGCTTTTAGGTAGAGAAAATGACTTTCAGAGATTCTTTACCGCAATCAGCTACCTAATAACATTGCCAAAACATTTCAATTTACATGCAGAACAGGTTTTACTATAAGATGGCATGAATTATTTTAATTTATATACATGGTAAATAGTTTTAGTTGAGAGAAATAGGCCTTTTGTGTACATAGAGAAAGTCTTTTAAGTTCAGCTCATGATGAATGGGGGCAAAAACAAAAGTGTTGCGTATACAGGTGCTGGTCATATAATTAGAATATCATCAAAAAGTTGATTTATTTCAGTAATTCCATTCAAAAAGTGAAACTTGTATAATGTATACATTCATTCCACACAGACTGATATATTTCAAGTGTTCATTCCTTTTAATTTTGATGATTATAACTGAAAACTAATAAAAACCCCAAAATCAGTATCTCAGAAAATTAGAATATTGTGAAAAGGTTCAATATTGAAGACACCTGGTGCCACACTCTAATCAGCTAATTAACTCAAAACACCTGCAAAGGCCTTTAAATGGTCTCTCAGTCTAGTTCTGTAGGCTACACAATCATGGGGAAGACCGCTGACTTGACACCTGTCCAAAAGACGACCATTGACACCTTGCACAAGGAGGGCAAGACACAAAAGGTCATTGCTAAAGAGGCTGGCTGTTCACAGAGCTCTGTGTCCAAGCACATTAATAAAGAGGCGAAGGGAAGGAAAAGATGTGGTAGAAAAAAGTGTACCAGCAATAGGGATAACCGCACCCTGGAGAGGATTGTGAAACAAAACCCATTCAAAAATGTGGGGGAGATTCACAAAGAGTGGACTGCAGCTGGAGTCAGTGCTTCAAGAACCACCACGCACAGACGTATGCAAGACATGGGTTTCAGCTGTCGCATTCCTTGTGTCAAGCCACTCTTGAACAAGACAGCGTCAGAAGCGTCTCGCCTGGGCTAAAGACAAAAAGGACAGGACTGCTGCTGAGTGGTCCAAAGTTATGTTCTCTGATGAAAGTAAATTTTGCATTTCCTTTGGAAATCAAGGTCCCAGAGTCTGGAGGAAGAGAGGAGAGGCACAGAATCCACGTTGCTTGAAGTCCAGTGTGAAGTTTCCACAGTCAGTGATGGTTTGGGGTGCCATGTCATCTGCTGGTGTTGGTCCACTGTGTTTTCTGAGGTCCAAGGTCAACGCAGCGTCTACCAGGAAGTTTTAGAGCACTTCATGCTTCCTGCTGCTGACCAACTTTATGGAGATGCAGATTTCATTTTCCAACAGGACTTGGCACCTGCACACAGTGCCAAAGCTACCAGTACCTGGTTTAAGGACCACGGTATCCCTGTTCTTAATTGGCCAGCAAACTGGCCTGAACTTTACCCTATAGAAAATCTATGGGGTATTGTGCGATACGCCAGACCCAACAATGCAGAAGAGCTGAAGGCCACTATCAGAGCAACCTGGGCTCTCATAACACCTGAGCAGTGCCACAGACTGATGGACTCCATGCCACGCCGCATTGCTGCAGTAATTCAGGCAAAAGGAGCCCCGACTAACTATTGAGTGCTGTACATGCTCATACTTTTCAGTTGGCCAACATTTCTAAAAATCATTTTTTTTGTATTGGTCTTAAGTAATATTCTAATTTTCGGAGATACTGAATTTAGGATTTTCATTAGTTGTCAGTTTTAATCATCACAATTAAATGAAATAAACATTTGAAATATGTCAGTCTGTGTGTAATGAATGAATATAATATCCAAGTTTCACTTTTTGAATGGAATTACTGAAATAAATCAACTTTTTGATGATATTCTAATTATATGACCAGCACCTGTGTGTATATATAAATTTGTGGAGTAACAGCAGTTAAAAAAAGAAATGCAATATGTATTCTGTTTCAGACATACAAAATGAGCATGAAACGTGTGTCTTTATACTTACTTTTGCATTTGTTAGGCCTACATATAAATAAATAAACATGAACTTCTAACTTTAACAACAATAGAGAATCTTAAATGTTTTTCCCACGTGTTTTCTCTAGTAAAGACCCCCAGATACATTATCTGAACCCATGTGTCTTAAAAATATGATTGAGCATGTGAACATACATTATGCTGCTGACCAGATCCGACCTTTTTGCAGCGATGTCGCCTCCTACAGGGAACTTGTGAGACCCGCAGCCGCCACTGTTTTCCAGGTTGGCAGCTCTGCTCATCACACCCATTAAATCATATAAATGTATATAACATTTGTATGTATACTATGTGCAGTACCTGCTTTGCTTATAGACAAGTAAATGCTGACATCATTTTAATTGGTGAATGGGCAGTTGTCAATGTGTGGGAAACTGACAGGTGGTTTGTGGGTTGTTTCATCTGAGGTGAAGCCCAGAGCGACACAGGACATTTGCATGCACTCAAAGTTGCCCCACAGCTTGTTGCCACTTTGCATCTTCGCAGCTCTGCGTCCACCGAAGAGACTTCCTGCAGCCTCTTGTGTCTTTGTATCCGCAGGCGTGAACATGGATTCCTGCGGCACAGATGAAACGATACAAACGCACAATCTACAAATCAAAGGTGAATATGTAAATAAGGTGCTCAGGGAAAATTAGGAGGTTGCAGTTTTGCAGCCGGTAAAAGTGGAGCCACTTTATACTATATATACTTTAAATATATATATATCCTACTTGTAAATTCTGTACTAATAATCTGAATCTGTAAAGAAACCAAAGTTAATAAAAATTAAATGTGGTGGAATAAAAAGAACCAATAAGCGGTCGTCGCACCGGAAACGGAAGCACACCGTTGTTTTTTGTTTTTTTTAAGCACTCGGTTGTTTTTGTTACTCCTCCTCCTCCTCGCGCTCCACTCCACCGGGCAGGTACAGGTGTTTCATGCAACATGGAGTATAAACTGATCATGGCTGTGTCCGGATTCCCGAGTCTGTACGACACGAACTCTCTGACCTACCGGGACCTGAACATGAGGAGCGACGCGTGGCGGCAGGTCGCGGAGATAGTCGGTGTTCCCGGTGAGTCTCCGGTTTACTCGTGAATTTACACCGCCGCTGCTTCACGGACACCCCGGCGACCGTCTCATCTACTGTGGCTGCGCAGTGAGACTCCTTAAAGTTGATTAATCCTCCAAAAATCCAACAAAACCCTGCGAGAAAAGATCAAAACAATACGAGTACGTCTCTCAAGACGTTCCGACTATCTGCGGCTCTCAGCTACAAGCACATTGGTTCCTACTGAGGACGTAAATCTGTCAAACAAAACAAAAACATCACAAATGTTGTGTTTTATTTTTAGTTCACCTTTATTTAACCAGGCAAATTATAATGTAGTGGGGATTTAACCAATGAAAAACAAAAATAATCCAAATCAGTTCCACCTCAATCAGCTGCAACTGTAAACTGTTAATCAGAGATGATGCATAATCCAATCATTTATAACACTAAAACGGCCACAAGGTAGTTTTTCAGCTCTATGAGTACTTTTGATTTTGATATTGTAAGTACATTTTACTGATAATACTTGTACTTAAGTCATAGTTTCAATGCAGTAGGCCTACGTGCACTTGTAGGCGAGTGTTTTCACAGTCTGGTGCAGCATCTGAATCGTGCTGTTTGCCAAAAAACTACAGCGCACAGCTGGTTTTATGAAATTGCCTGAGCTTTGAAAAAAAAAAAATATATATATAAACTTATAAAACATGATAACAGTGCAACATGTTTTAATGTCCGTAAAATCTGAGCCTGCAAAGTAACTAGTAAGTAAAGCTGTCAGATAAATGTAGTAATTATGTGTTGTTTGGATTTCATGATTTAACTAAATGCTGTCGTTCCTGGTCCTGCAACAGACATTTCTCTTGTTTGAGATCTTCAGGTAGGGGTCTACCGTCTCTCCCTGAGTCCTAGCTGAAAACTAAAGGGGACAGAGCTTTTGTTGTCAGGGCCCACGAGGCTCTGGAAGGACCTGCCAAAAGAAATTATGCTACACTTAGTGTCTTTTAAGTCTCTAATAAATAAAAAAAAAAAAGCACTTTTATAGGACAGCTAATTCTAAATCTATCTGAGCCGCTTGCTTTGTTTTATTCCTTTTCATCCCGCATAGTTAGTAAATAAATAAAGTTAGTTATTAGATCATTATTATTATTATGCAACAGAATGCATTTTTCAGTCCCAAGTAGCAAAATTAAAGGAGCTAAAAAGAGCTCAAAAGGTGACTCTACAAATTGCCCCAGATGTGGATGTGATGAAGCAACGTGTGACCCAGTGTGGCGGTTTGACTCTCCATTGCCAGACGCAAACGAAATGTTGAGTAAGTGGTAAAGTCAACATGTTTTTCTTCCTGCGTTCTTTAGAGTCTGAATGCAGACGGAAGTGGAAGATGCTGAGGGACCAACACCGGCGGGAAAGGCAGCGGGAGAAAGAGAGGCGTGAGAGTGGCGTGGGGCTTTTTAACTACAGACCGTGGAGATATTCGGCTATTTTGTCCTTTTTGAACCCGTTCATTGACGCCAGAGCAGCGGGCACCAACGGCTGGGCTCTGAACCCGCAGCCCTCTCAGTACCAGGTGTCTGAAATGGTGGGCTGCAGCACGACCAGCGAAACACGGAGCGACGACGACGAGAATTACGGTTCGTAGTGAAGGAGTTTCCCTAAATGTTGGATTGAGGCTGCAGAGTCGGTGTGATCCTGTACGAAACAGAAAACCGGCAAATCTTCACATTTAAAGTTCCAGTAATTAGTATTTAATACCAAATTAGGAACAGTGAGTCGATTAGTTTGTTTTCTGTTGATAGATTAATCGAAAAAAAACACAAAAGCTTCACTGGTTGGAGCTTCTCACATGTGAATCTTTGTGGCTTTTCTCTGTTTTATTTATTTGTAAACTGAAAATCTTTGAGTTTTAGACTCAGGACAAACTGTGACAGGCATTGTCTCTATTTTATGACTTTATGTATCACGTTAACAATTTATTGATTGAGTGAGAAAGAAATTATCTACAGATGAGTCAAAAGAAAAGTTCTACTGCCAAACCTTAGCAGCTCTACGGAGCTTTTAAGCTCCTTGCTTTGGTTTTGTGGCACATTTCCTGGTCTGGTTCAGCCTCAGCAGCAGTTTTTTGTTTCAGACTAGCTCTAATAAAGCCACCGTATGCGACACACCGTACAGCTCCTTTACTACAGGACTGTTGTATCACACTGCTGTAGTTTTAGTTGACTAGTGAGTGTTTATCTTAAAGTCATCTGGTCTTTTTTTGTGAGCTTTACGTTGCTTTTAATCACAGAGAACTATTGTGTTTGTGCAGGTTGCACAGTTCAAGACGAGACTTGACTCCTGTGTATGAAACAAACAGAAACCTGAGTTTATATTCGGGAAACTGTTAAATGTCACAACAAATAACTTAGCCCAGAGGTTTTCAGAGGGCCTCCCCAGGGGGCTCCAAACGGTTTTGGGGAAAGACATTTGCTGTGTTATTTGTGTAGTCCGTTTTAAAGAAATGATCAGTCTATAATTTTAATGGTAGGTTTATTTGAACAGTGAGAGACAGAAGAAGAACAACAAAAAAAAAAAAATCTGAAACACGCATGTAAACATGTTTTAATGAGTGAAAAGAGTATTGGCTGGTTGCAAGACCATCGCCAAGCAGCACCTGGAAGAAACACACAAGAACTGTCAATCTCCCTCGGTCTGGGGCTCCATGCAAGATCTCACCTCGTGGAGTTGCAACGATCTTGAGAACGGTGAGGAATCAGTCCAGAACAACACGGGAGGATCTTGTCAATGATCTCAAGGCAGCAGGGCAAACGTACAAAATCAGCAGGGGATCAAAAAGTTTATTCCCTCACTGTAAGTCATGCAAAGCAGAAACACGATGCTTCTGACAGAGTTTTAGTTTTGGTATTTTTATTAAAATATTCTGTACGTGCAAGTAACACTTACTGCGCATGTCGCCGTTTACTTTGCGACGACTCCCAGTCTGTTTTCCGCCGCCACAGCCTCTTTTAACTCTCATGTAACATTCAGTAACAGTCCCAGCTCCTTATTGGTCCATGCAAAATAATAATTGAGCAGAACTAAGCAAGTAAACAAGTAAAAAACGCTTGTCCTGAATGAAATGGAAAAATCTAACCTGAGGTTCGATACGCAGCCGTAGTTTAGTTTAGTCTTGTGCTGAGTATCACAAGAACCTGCGGTGCTTCTAGCTGTGGGGTGAAAATGAAAGGTGATTTGTTTTATCTGTCTTTGTAGGCATCGCTGTAGCAGATGCTACAACAACAACACTATCATCTTCATCCTCCTCCTCAGAGTTTGTTCAGAGGAAGCGGCCGTCTTCTGCCAACAGAGACGGCGTCCGACTTAAAGACGCAAAGACCGAGTTGACCGAGGTGACCTCAGAGGCCGCAGCTACAGACGACGGCGTTCAAATGCAGCAGGTCCAGCAGGTTAACATGAGGGAGCTGTTTGAGATGATGATGCAGTCAGTTACCTCTCTGGCTTCGTCCTTAGCTTCCTCGCACACTCCCTCGCAGCTCTCTGATCAGCTGATGCCTCCTGCGCCGTCTTCCCCGGCAGTCCTGCGACCTGATCTGCAGCATCTGCATCACCTTCAGACGCACCACGGCCCGCCGCCGTCCTGCTCGGCGTCCAGGCCGAGCCACCTGAAAACAGAAGAGCAGGAAGCGGTGGTGGCGGAGCTGTCCGACCTAACTGACGGCGAGGAGGAGTGCCCGGCCGCGTCTCCCAGGCCGACCCGAGCCAAGAGGAAGAGAAGCGACGGTCTGCTGGAGGAGTTCCTGAGGAGGATGGAGGCCAGGGAGGCTCAGAGAGACCGCGACGTGGATCAGAGAGACGACGTCACCCTGTTTTTACTCAGCCTGGCTCCGGCCATGAGAAGACTTCCTGCAGAGAAACAGTCGTGGGTCAGAACCAAGATACAGCAGTTTGTGCACGAGGCGGAGTTTGGTGCTACGAGTTTTCCCAAATCCGAAAACATTTTTATTGAATGAATCCAGGACGGATCCCAGTGGACTCCAATAATAATTTAATTCCCCCACATTTTATCCTCCATTTTTAGAATACTGTTGCTGAACGTGTCCTTTCTCACGTTTTTGTGCTGTTTTTAATAAAATCTTGTATTATGTTTTATATACTGCATGTAAATTAATCAAAGTGAGCACTAAAAACGGCTTTAATCTTTCTTTATGTGTAGAAAAATCACACTTTCAGAACATTAATCGGACATCAGATTATTTCTTAAATGTATACACGACCGTTTGTGGTCACTTTTCAAAATAAAAGCACAGTTTTTGTCCATTAAAATAACATCTGATGGTTTAGAAAGTGTAGACATTAATGTTGTAAACATGTTTCCATGGCATTCTGTGTTTGCTGATCCAAGCTGACCATTTTTAAAAGGCCAATTGTCGTTAGAAACCCTTTTTCACTCTTAATGCTCCAGATGCTCAACTACTTTAATCAGAAGAACCGTTTTTAAGCTGTGCGACCACGATTGCAAAAGGTTTTCTAAAGATCAAGTAGCCTTTTAAAATGACAAACTCTGATTGGGGCTGATGGTTGCTGATAAAGGGCCCCTGTACGTCTCTGCAGGTATTCTCTTACAAATCAGCCCTTTGCTGCAACAAGTCATTTACAACACAAACAATGTCTTTCTGATCAATTTGACGTTTTAATGGACAAAATCTGCTTTTCTTTCAACCTCAAACTTTTCAACAGCAGTGTACACACCAGGCAGGACCCCGGGTGCAGACTATGAAAGGAGGCCCCTGAGACAGTACAGCACATAACAGCAGGTTGTAAGATGCTGGCAGGAAGTGGGTACATGG